ATCTAGTACAGTTTTGTCAGAAATTCAAACATGCCGATAATGTGCTGCTAATCATGATTAACATTTCGTGATAGGTTCTCTCTCCCCCCCCCCCGCCCCCCCGGTAATGTTAGTCAACGACGATAATGTTTGCACTTCCTACATTGACACAAGACGACCCTCGAACTGTCATGTGATCCACGGTGTCCACGTGTACGGTGCTGCAAAAGAAAAGAAAGACATTTTTTTAACGAAGCATCTTTTATTCATGAAAGAAGAAGAAGCTTTACATTTGGTTTGTTGTAAATGTATGGTTTATTTTATTCGGAACACAAGTTTCAGTGTACGAGATCAAACAAAATTTTTATAAATACCTCATAATGAGTGAGCAAAAAAAACTAACCTAATGACTTACGGTCCTAAAAATCATGGCTTTTTTTGACTTACAAATGAACACCTTCTTGTGTCAACTGAATATTGCTGGTCGGCTGCTTATTGAAAGTGTTCTCTATCAGGGCCCTGAAATAGAATAATCAATTTCTTGTTTGACTAAAAAAAAATTTTTTTCAGCTTTACCCTGACAAAATTTTTTTTTTTTTTAAATTCATTTTTATTTTGCAGCAACTTATGCAATTTGATTTTAGGCAATATTAACTAAGCTACATGACACGTTAATACAGACATATTTTTTTTTAAATTTAACATCTCCTATTGTTAACTTAGAGTCTATTTCAATTTTGATTCGGTATGATGCTCTGATTAAATATCGAAAGTCCAGATCAAAAAGGTCTTGACTTGAACCTTTAGACTGGTCATTTTATCAGGACGTTAACATGATGTAAGCAAATAAACGTAGCAAAAAAAAAACAAAAAAACAACAACAACAAAAACAACAAGATACTAATTTTCCCCAAGCGTACGTGTTCAAGTATTCTCGGTTATTTATAAAAATAAGCCGGTCAACAACAGGCCAACAAAAAGAAAATAAAACTATTTTTTTTTCAAGACACTAGCTCTAAATGACCGAACTGATCAGATCAAGCAGAACGTGCAGTAGGTATCTGTGGGACTCAAAGTCCGCACCATCATCAATAACACTCTTCTCATAGAGAGTCCACCCAAGCATCTTGTTTGCCCCTGTGCAATAAATGGCATGTTTACCAAACAATCCGATAATGCACCTGCACTCCCATAACTTCACAGCCTTTTCCACGACAAGCCACAATTTTTTACGCCCTCTATCGAGAGGTTCCATTAAATTCTGATGTCGTAAATCTGGAGGTTTCCTTGATTTCTGAAGTCGTATATCTCGAAATTTCCTTGATTTCTGAAGTCGTATATCTAGAGGGGGCGGACTTCTATTCTTCTTACCTCGTAGACCGCCCAGCGTAGGTGTCTCTGTTTTTTGTTGTTCTGCACGTCTTTCTCGTCTCACCGTATAGACCCTGTCCTGGTTGCAATCGTTTTCGCCACGCTTGAACTATGTACTTGAAAAGATCAGTTTTCGCAAAGTATTGCGTCGGTGAAATACTTGAACCCTATTCATAACGTAACATTTCATCTTTACAATTCGTGCCTCGTTCTGGTGGTTTTGGTTTTCATCTTCTGTTCGTTAAATTTTGTTCCCTTTTTTATGGATATTTTTTTTCTAACTGGAACATAATTCCATGTTTTCATTTGATCTCTAACAAATCTGGATTGTCTTTCCCTGTTTCTAGAAATATGAAAGCAAAATAACTAATAAAATTAAAGTGTATTTTAAATTATTTTTATTGAATTTCAGTTAAATTAGTTTATCAGAATTTACAATTTTGATCAAGTTGTTTATTTATTTTGGACCTAGGTTGTTCTTTTTATCTGGCAACAACAAAACAAAAAACAAATCTCGACTCTCCTAGAAAAATAAAAATGTTTTAAAAAATCAATATTAGCTACTAGCTACAACAAGGAATTAAAATCAGATAGATAAGGATCAGTGGCGTAGCTAAGGGGCTTGCCGGGGGTGCGGACCATACCACTTGGCACCATCTCAGGGGTGACATCAAGTTGAAAAATTGCAAATAAACAAAGCACACACTGGTCAGTCTAACCGAATTTGATATAAGGATAACCGATCTGACGTAACCTTTCCAACACATTAACCAATAAAAACCCGTGCATTATTAAAAATTCAAGATTAACGCTTCAGAAATGAGGCGACCACATAATTAGGTCAGAAAAAAAACCGTTATGATAAGATTCCACTCCGATTGACGTGTTCGGTAACTTTTGTAAGCGACAGGAAACAGGAATATTTATCTAAATTCCGAGAAATAACGTTTTCCATTGATACCAAATACGATGTGGTCGAGCGGTTCTAAGTACACGGATCGAATCGGTCAAAATTAAAAACATTGAAAAGTGAAATTTTACCCCCTTATAAAAGTGAAATTTTACCCCCTTATAAGTTAACCAAACAATATTTTACAAAATTGTATTATATTTCAAAAAAAATAATTTTAAATTTATTTAACCCAGACATCTTCAAAAAACAGACAATATCCAATTTTTTTTTACTGCGTTTTACTGGGTGGCAAATTAGCCCAAAATAACAAAAAAATCACAAGGCATCGGAAGAGCACCCATGCAGCCGTGAAAATTGAAAACATTGACATCGGGATTTACTCTACACAAAACAAATAACGCCGAAAGTATTGCTGTAATAGGCAGGGAGAAGAAAAAAAATGGAGGGATATCATGCACATGTCGCTCGATATCCCATTGTTTCTTGAAAAGAAACATCTGGCATTTCTTGGCTACAACTGAGATGAATTTTCATTGAATAGAGGAAACGTTCTTAAGATGGTAGAGATGCTATCTACATATGACCCAGTGCTAAAAAAGGATCCAAATGAGACTTAAGAAGAGTACATCTAAATTAACAGCATCCGCATCTTACGTTTCATCAGAAACCCCCCCCAAAAAAAAAAAAATTTCTTTGTAAATCAAGTGGAAAAAGATTCTTATCATGGATATAAATGCTGTGAGGTGATTTGGAATTATGTTGGACAGTAAACCTGATATATCACACACTGACGCCATTACTGAAGTGGTCAGATATGTGAAAACCCACACTGTGAAAATTGAAGAGTGGGAAGTACTCTTTGAATTTTGTTCCTTTTGGTGAGAAAAAAAAGATCATGAGCTTAGTTTTTAGGCATTCTTACAAATCTTAAACGTGATAGACTATCCATATGATGTGTAGAGCACAAGGTTACGATAATGCTGCCAAAGGGTATGTAATCCATAGGAGCGTTCAGACTCTTGTTAAAAGAAAAAAATAAGAAAGCGATTCTTAACGGAAGTGTGGGCCATTCGCTTAACTTGTGTCGTCCACACTCCTTTGCTGAAAAAAGCTTTATGTATTACATTTTTCAGTACCCTTTAGAGAATATTTTCCTTCTTTGCTGCAGCCACGCATGGATGGGATATTTTAATTGAACACACTAGAATGTCGGTGAAACGACTCAACACAAGCTGGAGTGCCCCTCGAGCAGCTTTTAAAACAGTGAAAGATGAGTTTGATGAATGTATGGCGATGGTTGACGCTGTATGTGATTCTCTTGAAAATTTGGATACAAGAGGTAAAGCACAAGGTCTTTTACACGGCGACCGTGTGTTTCACGTTTATCTGCTACCTTTAACGGTTGGCTAATCTACTTGAGGAAGTTAAATTAACACAGACTAAAGACTTTACTCTTAACCAGGTGACCAACATAAAAGCTTTAAGATTGTTTCTGCTCAAGAAGGGCTGCCACTTTGTGGAACATGCTATTGAAAAATCTCTTTAAAAATCAGGCCAATATGGAATTTCGGTGGAGAGAAGATAAAGGTTTAGGAAGAAAATAGCAGGAGAACAATTAACAGATGCTGGACTCTCTCTCTGTGACAGGAAAACTGTGTATTAATCGCTTTGATTCTGAACTCCAGATCAGATTATCAGCGATCAAGGAAGTAGCAGATATGATTGGCTCTGTACAGTCAGAGTCTCCTATCAGCCAGTGAAGAAGAGTTGTGGTGTCCGTTCCAAAATTAACCTCTTTCTATGATTAACTTTTAAAAGATATAGCAGGGCTTAAAAGACAAAAAAGTATTGTCAGATAAAGAGTTGATTGTATAGGTTTAAATAGGTTGTTTTTTTTTTATTCAAACGTTGACATTTTTAAACATTTTTAAACACTCGGTTAAAAATTGTTTTTTTTTGTTTTTGTTTTTTTGTTTTTTTTAATTAAAAAGCATCTTTCTAATGCAACATATTTGCCCCGATATTTAAAAACTTAACACTTTTAGCACAATCGAGTACTGCAAGTATAATTGAATATGGTCGCTCCAGTATATTTAAGTTAAGCCCTTCCTATATAATTAGGTAGGGACCCTCAAATATGCGTAAATGGAAACTTCCAGGCATCATTAACTGGGTACAGTATAGCTGATTTAATGCTCTACTTATAGAGCTAGAGTGTCTTCTGGGGGAATACTGTCTTATGTTGAAAAAAGTGGGATGTTAGTAACGTAGATTATTCATTTCGATTGGAGACAACTGAAAGAGACTGTCCTATTCCGAACGCCAAAGACATCTCAAAAGACAGATAGAAATCTAGCTAAATAAAACATATGTAACAAAACCCTTTAAATAAATTAGCAGCCCGACTCTCTAATTGTACATAACTCAACCAGTCACAAAAGTTGCATTTGCGTTATATTACTCTTTATATATATATATATATATATATACATATATATATATATATAGTAGATCTGGGAAACAAACTAAATTTTGACATGGGCGGCAGCCTAAACGTGCTAAAATATATTTCAAATGTATACAATCCAGTAGCAATGCCTTGACTTATTTACTGGTTGGCTAGAATTTGTGACGGGATTCTCTCCTATTTTGTCTTCCATGATGAAACTCCTAAGCATAAAAGAATTCCCATGAAATATGAGATATATTATCTATAGGAAGTGGTCGAAAAAAAAAATTCCCTGTGGTAAATGTCCTCCCAGGAGGGTGGCCCACTCCACCTCCAATGCGTGGGCCCCAGTGTTCAATATGCAGGAACCAGGTTATGTTTTGTATATCATTTAATTAATGTTTTGTTTTTTCCCCCATTATAATTTAAAGATATGATAAACGGTTTTAAAAAATGCAACACAATTTTAAACCTGTCCAGGGTAAATATTCTATCAATCACAAACAAAACTTTTATGAACGAATCAAACCAAGTGAAAGCATATTTGAATAAAATCTGTGACGTGTTTCTGGCTTTACACAGAATTGAAAGCACAACAAAATTCAAAAGGGATAACGTACATTGCAATGCAATTTTAAATATTACAATTTTAATTAATCTTAAACATCTGCAGCTACCAAATTTTAGCGCCTATTATGCTATGCTGACTATTTATATCAAAATGTGTATTAAAACTAATAATATTTTGCAGCATTGAATTAAATAATAACAATGCAAATGGAATATTTTAAAAAATACGTATTGAAATTAGATCATTCTTCCTATCATTGGGATAAGAAAGTAGCGTGCTAATTTTGAGCTTGCACAGTATTTTTAAGAGACAATAATGTAGACAGAGGTGTAAACATAAAAAACGTTAAGCAAAAAATTGCCCAAAGCTTATTCAACATGAGTAACATAAAACATTATATAACGACTTCAGCCAAAATCGCCAAAACAAAAAGTGAAGAAGTACAATAACCAACACTAAAATTCATTACACTGAAATGAGAAGTAACAAAAAGAACTATAGCTATACAATAAAAGATTTTAAAAAAAAAACATTTAAATTTAAAGAAAAACTTATTATTATTTAATTACAAGACGCAATTAAGAAAATATGCATTTACACAAATCATTTGTAAATGTAAATAAATTTCAACGAAATGAAAAGCAAGTGATGTGTAGAAAAAACAAAAAATTTTACACATTTAGATATAAAACTTATTTAGCAAACACGTTGTTGCAATGAAATTGTGTCCTGTTGAACAAGTGATCTCATTTCCTAAATTTCTATTTTTCGAAAACGCGAAAAATGGGTTCATAGAAAGCTTCTGGGGGAAATCGTACCTCTTGTTATATTCTTTAAAAAATAGGAATCTTTTTAATGGATTTCTCTTTTCGAAATAATAAATTGATTTATCATGAAGAGAAATGCAAGAAAGACTTTTTTTAAAATATAATTAATGCATAATTATGAATGATAAAATATGCAGAACACACATTTATTAATATGCGGCATCGCATTTTTTTTGACAAGTAAATAGAAACACTCAAAGTATTTATTGAGACATGTTCAAATATGGTGAATATTTAAGACAAAGGTGAAGCGTATTTGATAAATTCATAGCTTTTAAAGTTCTGCATTGGGTCAAAAACATTCACAGAGCTGTAAAAAATTCAAACAATTCAGTAATGTACTATTTATAATGTTTTTATAATCTTGATTTTTTTTTTTCAATTGTTAGTCAACAACGCAAAAGTTTGTATTTGTAACGTTGACACAAGACGACCCTTGAACTGTCAGTCTCTCCATTTTATGCACGTTTAAGGTCCTGCAAACAAACAAACAAACAGTTATATTTAATAAAATCTTTGTCTTTTATTCACGAAAGAAACAATTATATTTGGTTTGTGGTTAATTTATGTTTTTGGTTTTTTCGGAACACATCTGCAGGAAGTGTTTTTTTTTGTTTTTTTTTAAATATTATTATATTCTCACCAATGGGTAAACAAATCCTAGCCTACTGGATTTACAATATTTAAAACTATTACGTTTTAATTTACTTACAAATAAACAGCTTTTTGTGTCAATAGAACATGGCTGGTTGGCTGCATGCCTCCTGTTTCTAAACTGTTCTGTGTTATTGCCCTAAAATAGAATAATCTATTTATTTTTTGACTAAAAAATTGGCTTTAAGATTTGACTTTTATTACTGTTCCTTACATAGTTTGCTTTCACATAAACATTACGCAGATCGTTTTATGACGATCTTAAATAAATTATATGACAAAGAAAATCTTATATCACAGAATGTATGCCGGAAATTTTTATTTAAAATTTATCACATCCTTATGTTAACTAAAGTTAACTTATTTGAGTTTTGATTCAAAGCTAACGTAGTCTGATAAATCTCAAGAATCCCAATTAAATAGTTGTAGACTTTAACTTTTAGACTGTTCAGGACGAGAAAATTTCTAAGGAAGAAATAGTTTAAATTTCCTCATAGTGTACAGGTTTGAATTAGTATTGCTATTTATAAAGTAAACAGGACAGAATAGACCACAACAACAAAAAAATCACTCGTTTATTTGAACACATCTGCTTTAAATGACCAACCTTAAGAGATCATACACAGCCGACAGTAGGCATCTGTGGGGCTGCGCGTCGGCATCTTCATCAGTAAAATTCTTCTCATCGAGGCTCCACCCAAGCATCTTGTTTACCTCTGTGCAATTATTGGCATGTTTACCAAACAATCCGATAGTGCGCCTGCACTCCCAATACTTCAAAGCCCTTTCCACTACCAAGCATAATTTGTTACGCCCTCTATCGGGAGGTGTCCTTGATTTCGGATGTCGTATATCTGTAGGTTTCCTTGTTTTCTGATGTCGTATATCTGGAGGTTTCCTTGATTTCAGATGTCGTTTATCGGGAGGTTTCCTTGATTTCTGATGTCGCATATCAGACGGAATTTCCGTTTTCCTATCTCGTAGACTGCCCAGCGTAGGCGTTTCTGCTTGTGGTTTCCAACACTTCCCACTTGTCTCAACGTATTGATCTTGACTTGGGTTCCATCTTTTTCGCCCCACTTGAACTATGTATTTGAAAAGATCAGTTTTCGCAAAGTATTGCGTCGGTGAAAAACTTGAACCCGATTCATAACGTAACATTTCATCCTTACACTTGTGCCTCGTTCTTGTGGTTTTGGTTGTCAACTTCAGTTCGTTAACTTGTGTTTCTTTTGTTATTTTTTTTCGAACTGGAAAATAGTTCCTTGTTTTGATTGTATCTCTAGCAAATCTGGATTGTTTTTTCCTGTTTTTAGAAATAGGAAAGCAACAAAAAACAAACACAAAAAAACAATGAAATTAAATGTATTTTAAATGGTTACCGGAAATTTGATCGACAGAAATTTCGTCGACGGTAAATTGGTCGACGGTAATTTGATCGAACGGAAATTTGGTCGAATCTTTTTTTCTGTTCGCACGTTAAAATTTTCGTCAAATTTCTTTTTGAACGCACTATAATATTTAGTAAAACAAAATAATTCGTTCAAAAAGAAATTTGATTCAAAATTGTAACGTAAAAATTGAAAAGAAGATTCGACCAAATTTCCGTTCGATCATATTACCGTCGACGAATTTACCGTCGACGAAATTTCTGTCGATCAAATTTCCGGATACGATTTTAAATTGTTTTTATTAAATGTTGTTATAGTAGTTTATCAGAATATACAATCCTGATCAAGTTATCATTAGTATTATTTTGTCCTAGGTTGTACTTTGTATCTTGCAACAACAAAACAAAAATAAAACTTGACTCTCTTAGAAAAATAAAAAGTTTTTTTTTTTAATTGAGCTACAACAAGGAAATAAAATCACAAAGATAACCCTCAGGGGGGGGGTGCGGGGGGGTGTGGGGGTGTGGACCGCACCAGGATGAAAAAATCTCAGTGGTGATACAAGTTGAAAAAAATGCGTATACACAAAGAACACACTGCTCGGTCATACCGAATTTCATACAAGGATAACAAATCACACGTACATTTTCCCACACTTGTAACCAATGTAAATCCTTGCAGTATTAAAAATTCAAGGTTAATGAGTGAGAAATGAGGCGACACTATAATTAGGTCAGAAACACACCGTTATGACCAAGACTCCACTCCGATTAAAGTTTTCGACTTTTGTAAGTGACAGGAAGCTATAATATATTTCTAAATTCATTGAAATAAAGTTTTCCATTGAAACCAAATACGATGTGTTCTAACGGCTCTAAGTACATGAATGGAAACGTTAAAGATTAAAAACATTTATGAAAATTACTTTTTACCCCTTTATTGGTTAACAAAACAATATTATACACAATTTTATAATATTTTTTAATAATTAATTTTAATTTAGTTAACCCAGAAATTTTCAAAAATAGAAACAACATCCAAATTAGTCACTGGGTCTTATAAGTGGTGGCAACTGAGCACACAATTACCAAAGTCATGAGACATTGGAAGATCACCTATGCTGACTTGAAAATGGAAAACGTTTGCAGCAAGAATTAGTCTACACAAAACATTTGATGACAAAAGTATTGCTGTATTGGACAGGAAGAAGAAAAAGCGGAGGGAGGTCATGCACATGTTGCTGGATATCACATTATTTCTTGCAAAGCAACATCTTGCATTCCGTGGCTACAACGAAGATGAATTTTCATTGAATAGATCAAAGGTTCTTAAGATGGTAGAGATGCTATCTAAATATGAAGTAGAGCTAAAAAAGCACACAATGAGACTAAAGAGGAGTACAACTACAATAAAAGCATCCGCATCTGACTTTTCACAAGAAACCCAAAACGAAATTTTAAATGTCTTTGTAAATGAAGTGAAAGAGATTCTTATCATGGATATAAAGGCTGTGAGGTGATTTGGAATTATGTTTGACATAAAACCTGATATATCACACACTCACCAGATGTCTGAAGTGATCAGGTATGTGAAAATCAAAAATGTAGAAATTGAAGAGAGGGTAGTGTTCTTTAGATTTTTACCTTTCGTGAGAAAAATAGCTGAGGAGCTCAGTTTTTAGCCATTCTTATTAATATAAAACTTGCTAGACTAACCATAATGATGTGCAGAGCACAAGGTTATGATAATGCTGCCACAATGGCTGCAATTCATGTGGGTGTTCAGACACTTTTATAATAAGAAAGCGATTTTTAATGGACGTGTGGGCCATTCACTTGTGTCGTCCACAATCATTTGCTGAAAACGCCTTATGTATTACATTTTTCAGTACCCTTTAGAGAATATTTTCCCTCTTTGCTGAATCCACACATCGATGGGATATTTTAATTGAACACACTAGAATGTCTGTGTGTCTGTCAACACACGTTGGAATGGTCATCGTGCAGCTGTTAAAGCAGTGAAAGATAAGTTTGATGAATGGGTGGCTACGTTTGACGCTGTATTTATCTGCTTAAACATTTAGCTTCAAGAGGATACAACTCAACGTCTTGTACATGGTGATTTTGTTTTCACGTTTATCTGCTATCAGTACGTTTTGTCTAATCTACTTGAGGAAGTTAATCTTACACAGCACCATCTGCTGCCTAAAGGGTTGACTCTTAACCAGACGGTGACCAACATAGAGGCCTTAAGATTGTTTCTTCTCGAGAAGTGCAACCATTTTGTGGAACTAGCTATTGAAAAATCACTTTAAAATTTAGACCAATATGGAATTTTGGTGGAAAAAAGATTTAAGATTTAATAAGAGAATAGCGGGTGAACAATTCATAGATGCTGGACTTCCTCTGTGAGAAGAAAACTTTATGTGGATGCTGAAGTGTATTTATCGCTTTCATTCTGAACTCCAGATCAGATCATCAGCGATCAAGGAAGTATCAGATATGTTTGGGGCTGTTCAACGAAAGGGTCTCCTAATATGATTGAAGAAAAGTTATTGGTGTCCGTTCCAAAAATAACCTCTTTCTATGATAAACTTTTTAAAAGATATACCAAGGCTTTAAAGACAACTTCAAGGAGCTGATAATTCATTTCACAAAGTCATGGACTGCTCACTATTTGATGTTTTGAAATTCTTAGCTGAATGGGACTTCAAATAATCTCTTCCAAAACTGTCGCTAAGCTTTCAAATGTTTCTTACGATCTTCATGTCAGCGGAGTTTTTTTCAAAACTAAGACTTATCAAGAGCTATTTACTATCCACGATAGGAGAGTAAAGGCTTTCTGATCTGGCACTCCTATAATTGAAATGTGATACAAGGAAGGATATTGATTTTAATAAAGTGATTGAACAGGTTGCAACTTTGGAGTCCAGGAAGGGAACATTTTAAGTCATGTTATGTAAAAATAACTATAACTTAACGTTGTTACTGTTCTTTAATACATTGATATCCTGACCTTCAATTAATATTGTTTTTATTCTTGTCATTGATATACTGTGGACTTATTTTAACAAAGAAATATCTTTCTTGGAAGTCGGGAGGATAGGGGGGGGGGGGGGGTGACACCATGAGTTTACCGCCCCGGGGGCCCCGGGGGATGTTATTTCAGTAAAAAATATTACACAAATTACAATTTAATAAAAAGAAAAAAGATAAAAAAAATTGATATCCTGACCTTCAATTAATATTGTTTTTATTCTTGTCATTGATATACTGTGGACTTATTTTAACAAAGAAATATCTTTCTTGGAAGTCGGGAGGATAGGGGGGGGGGAGTGACACCATGAGTTTACCGCACCGGGTGACACAGTGGATGTTATTTCAGTAAAAAATATTACACAAATTACAAGTTAATAAAAAGAAAAATGATAAAAAATATATTGCAAATACTTATATATAAAAAGTAAACTGGTAATGGCTTTATCATTCAAAGCAAACATTTTCTCAATGGCTAAATGCTTCTAAGTCTTTGCTTGCCATGCTAACGCTAAATATCTTATTTACTCTGGATACAATATTTGCACTAGATACCATATATACAACTTGAACATGTGAGTCCATTTATCATTTTAACTTTGGCAGATAGGTTCACAGAACATCTTAGGGATATTGAACCATGTAAACTTCCCCCACCTTTTTCCCATTTCAACAGAGAGCAAAGGTGGATTTTAGAGTTAAAATGGTGGAAAAAAAAATCAGCTTTTTGGCACCAGTTCTCCACATGATTGGAATCAAATACTCTCTTACTAATACTTCTCATTTTCCCTGTATTTCTTCTTTTTTTCCCTTACTTCTTAGATTGTATGTATCCTTAAAAATTTTGGTCCAATAAGATTCTCTATCTTGTTTTTCACAGTACCAATAGGTATAATCTTTCACTTCCTGTAATCCTACTTCCGGCAATACCAAAAGAGATCCCTAAAGTTTTTTACTGTGCTCTGTGACTCGTCTTAGCCCTTCTATTTGTCTTATTTGCTGAAGATATCTAAGCCGAAACTTTCAAATCTTATTGCCATGTCTTCTAATTCAAGCTAAACATTGATTGATTTGATACTTATATCGTGCTGGTATCGCTGGCCACTTTAACATGCTCACATACCTTGCTCTACTATTTCATTTACACAACTTTAATGCAGTCCATTTCATTTTTTAAAAATGGTTTTCTCTTTTTTTCTCTACAAATATTACGTTAGTAGTGGGACATTTAAGCGAATAGATTTAAATACAACAAATATTAATTTGGGTAACCCTACTTACTTTGGATTATCAGAGACTTTACAGAAGTTGACAGGTCTTAGGATTTTGTCTTCAAATCTCAGGTGGTTGCAAGTATTGACCTGATTTTTAGCTCCGGTGTTTCTTACTTTGTTACGATTTGGTATTTCTTTAGTCATGGAAAAAGTCAATTGTTTGCATTGTCTTTTGATGGATTTCTTATCCTTCATGTCTGCTTGTGATGATGTGTTTGTGTTCCAATTAGTATTAAAAAAATTCATCATGTTTTTAGCATCGGTTTTGTGTACATCTTCAATCAATGCATCTTCACAATTTTTGAGAACTTTTTTTTTAAACTTTCCACATTCCTCATCTGCAAGTCCTGATGTGATCAACTTGTCAATATGATTTAATGTTTCGTCTCCTTTATCGCGTACAGGCATTGATGCCTCATGGTGTTCGTTATCGACACTGCCCTCTGTCCCTTCTCTATTTGCCGACCAGCTAAGAACGGCGTCTAGGCTTGACTCTGGCTCTGCGTTATCAATCATAAATACATCTTCATCAACGTCGTCTGTTGCTCCTTCTTTAATAAGCAGTTCAACAATGTCAGTCTTGTTTTCCAGTATTGCCAACACTAGAGCGTTCCCATGGCCATTGACTTTCTCGTGGATGTTTGCTCCTCCCTCGATTAACGTCCTGACGTTTTCAATATGTCCCGCACGTATGGCCAGCTCAAGAACCGTATTTCCGTCGTTGTCTTTACCGTTCACGTCGCCTCCGTGATCTATGAGCAATTGGACTAGATAAGTAAAAGATCTGCCTTTTTGGAACACCGCTTCCATTAATGCTGTCCTTCCATTATGTTTCTTTGCATTTACATTTGCGCCTGCTTTTAACAGAACTTCAACACTTTTGCCAACCATCTCTTCCGATGCGAGGATAAGAGCGGTAGCGCCGTCATCGTTTTTCTTGTCTACACCTACTCCTTTCTCTAACAGCAGGAGAATAGCGTCTGTGTTTTCGGCCTTTGCGGCGTACATAAGGGTGGTGTTTCTGTGATTGTCCCTCTCAGTGACATCTGCTCCATTTTCAATAAGCAATATTATATTGTCTGTTTTGTTTGTCCTCAAAGCGTGCAAAAGTGGAGTGATGCCGTCGTTATCCTTGTCATTAACATGAGCTCCATATCCTATTAACATCTCACACGTATTCCTGGTACGATGGACTACAGCTAACATTAGTGCAGTTCGTCCATCTCTGTCTTTTTCGTTTAGATCAGCACCTCTGTTGATTAGAAATTCAGCTTTATCGTTGTTTTCCTTAGTTTCGTAAGACGGCCATATGTCTTTATCAACGGTAGCCATTAACGCTGTTCGACCAAGAGTGTTGTGATCATTTAAATTGGCCCCCATGTCTACAAGTTTCTCAACAACAGCTATCGGTGCATCACGTGCCGCTAATATTAGCACAGTGTCCTCGATCGTATTGTTTTGTTTCTCATTGACATTGGCACCAAAGTTGATCATCATATTCATCAGGTCCACATCCCACTTCCTCACTGCTAGCATTAGAGAAGTGTCTCCAGATCTATTTTTGGCATCCATGTCATATCCTCTTTCCACCAGCGTTTCTACTGTGTGCGCATGACCATTCCTTTCGGCTATCATTAAAGCGTTTTCTCCACCCCGGTCCACTTCATTTAAATTCGCCCCGTTTTCCATGAGAAAAAGAGCAACACCCGTCTGCCCATGTCTCGCTGCCACGAGCAGTGGGGACTCGCCATTGTACTTTTGGTTAATATCTATTCCACTTTTAATCAGCGCCTTCACAACAGTCTTCAGTCCCTTGGCACATGCTGTTAGGAAAGTTGGAAGTTCTACTGTAGTTTTGTTGGACATTGTTTTATTTTTCTATCCCTGCTCCCATCGTTGTAATTTAATTGAATTATCTGTAAAACATTTAACATTTAAGTAGATTTTAGATAATCTGACACCCTTATAAATAAGAGTTTCTAATTTTTTTTACCGGTTGACTTAAGATAGTATCCGAAGATACGTCTAAGCATATGAAGCACAAGAAATCTATACGCAAATTTAAAAGAAAAATAATATGAACTACTATATTATAAATAGAGTGGAGTTTCTTAGAATTGTTTATATATATATATATATATATATATATATATATATNTATATATATATGTATATTCTAAACATTTTCTTGCAGTTTACCGATGGGATTCTCTCTATACTTTATAGCTAATAGTGTCTGGAGAAAATTAAAAATATTGGGATGGAGTTTAATTGGGAAATACGCGTCTGTTATTACATGGGCGTTTTTGTCTGTACAACCGTTTGCTGGGCGGACATACTTTTTATCTCTTCGGGTGACTTTCTAAGCGAGTAGCCTGAAGTAAAACGGCTGTTAACAATTAATCGTAAAGAATTTGTTAGTTATCTAGCCGATGTCTTGGAAAGACTAAATACCAACTTCAAAGGAACACATAAAACTGACGATGCAAACGCGATGATATTTTATTTCAATCAATTTATTGAATATTGTCAAAAATATGTTTGTAACAAAAACGTTTGACAAGTTTCGCTGGCTCGAAAAGTGAAGTTACAGAAACGCTATACTTGTTACTGTCAAACATGTAAAAAAAAATGGTCAGGTTTTTTAGAAGATGGACTTTAAAAAAAAAAATTGTTTTAACAAATTGATTACGCAAATTGGATGATGCAGCCAATGTTGGTGGATTTGTCTGATTTTTCAAATACGCAAAATCAAGAACTCTCAGAAATGCAAAATGGCGAGTCTGTTAACACATTATTTAACATAAAAGGAAAGCTTGCATTGCTTTATGAGGAAACAAATATGGAACATTAGAATTCCACCAAATGTGCAAGACAGCTATTGTTACCGTTTCCATCTTTGTGTTTTAAAAGTGTATTTTTTGCATCTCTTATTTGTATTTGTGATCTGTGGCTGTTTTTGTTTTTCCGCTCTGAATTTGTGATCTCGCACTGTATTTGTGATCTCGCACTGTATTTGTGATCTCGCACTGTGTATGTGATTTCGCACTGTATTTGTGATTTCGCACTGTTTTCTTTTATAATTTAATTGTATTTGGGATCTCTCATTATGTTTGTGATTTCACACTGTATTTGTGATCTTTTTTTTTTATGTGTAATCTATTTTTGTATTTATTGTTATCTCGTACTTTTTGGGTATCTTACACTGTATTTGGGATTTTTTTCATTGTATTTCGTACCTATCATTATATTTGTGATCGCTCACTGTGTTTTTTTTTCCATATTTTTTTTTTATTACTCATAGTATTTGTTATCTCACATTATATTTGTGATATCTCATTTTTTGTGATTTCACACTGTATTCATTATCTACCAACGCATTTCCAATCGAACACTGTATTTTCTATATTTTATTTTATTTGTGATATTACACTCTAATTTTAATGTTTTATTGTACTTATGATTTCACACTGCATTTGTGATCTCAAAAGGTATTAGTGATCACTCAATGTATTTTATTTCTCTCATTTTGTGAGATCACTCATAATATTTGTGATCTCTCACTGTAATTTTGATCTCACTGTATGTTTGATCTCACATTGTTTTTGTGATGTGGCACTTTATTTCTGATTTTTCATTTCATTTTTGAGCTCTCATTGCATTTGTGATCTCACACTGTCTTTTGGATCTCACACTTTTTTGTGATCTCTCACTATATTTTCGATTTCCCATTGTGTTTGTGATCTCACACTGTTTTTGTGATTTCTCATTTTATTTGTGATGTCTCACTGTTTTTTCGATCTCACACTGTATTTGTAATCTCACACTTTATTTCTTTTAATCTTTTATTTTATTTGTGACGTCTCAACGTATTTAAAAATTATTAAATAATAAATAATAGGCCTAAATGAAATAATTAATAATTAAAACGTTTTTGAATGATCTTATTTTTTATCCTTGAGTTTCACTTTTCCATTAAATGTTTTGAAAATTCAGTTATTTTTTTGTCCTTTTTTTCACCAAACCTTAAACCTGTCATTTAGTTTTATTTCAGTGAACAATTCAATTATTTAATATTAAATGTATGTATATATTACTTGATTTTTTTTTGGTTGGGGGGGGGCATAAGTATTTTAGAAAGACTTAGGTTTGGCATGACCCTAAAATGTTGGGAGACACTGTCTTCGAAGGAGTTTTGAAATGCCAAATGTTTAGAATCTATAGCGTGCAGCGTGAAAGATTCACCATGGGGAGTAAAATTGTACGTCATCTAGATTAATGGTAGACAATAGCTACCTCGTTTGTATGGTTACTACATTGTGTTTGTTACATTTGATCCCTCAAACTAACGAATTTGGAAGAGAAAAAAAAAAGTTACATTTCTTAGAAATGAAGACATAAACACGACCAGGAAGCAATTGGGTAATTCCAAATCACGAGAAAGACTAGTTTTCGTAGACTATTGCATCAGGTTGTTTTTAAAAAGGCGCAATAACTGTGCAATTTAAGGTCTGAATAGTGACCTGACAACCAAAGCATGGTAATAACTAATCTTTAATGATCACGTGTCTTAGTAATAAGCTCTTTGGAGAAAGTCCTTATTTTAGTAAAACCGAGAAGCTTTCACGTGGTTCAAGCCTAACGTTTTTTTTTTTATTGTTTTTTTTTTTTTACTGTAGGGCCAAAAAGTTTTGTTTGTGTGTACTCGATTTAAAATAGTTTTGTTTGTTTGTACTCGATTACAATAAGATTTCAAAAACTAATTTAAACAGACCAAATTAATAATGATCACGTGTCTTAGTAATAAGCTCTTTGGAGAAAGTCCTTATTTTAGTAAAACCGAGAAGCTTTCACGTGGTTCAAGCCTAACGTTTTTTTTTTTTATTGTTTTTTTTTTTTTTACTGTAGGGCCAAAAAGTTTTGTTTGTGTGTACTCGATTTAAAATAGTTTTGTTTGTTTGTACTCGATTACAATAAGATTTCAAAAACTAATTGAAACAGACCAAATTATTATTATTATAAATTGATCGTGGGCCCTTAAGATATAGAAGAAGAAGAAGAACTCCATTCAATTCACGATATCGTCTTCCATACCATGATGATTAAATCAAAAAACCATGGCTGCGAACACTGATATGAATGCGGGTACCAATCTACTCGCTCGTACTCCAAGAAAATAGGAATGTTTTAAAAAATTATATATTGTTCGTACCATATACTTCACTCCTGTTTCCAAATCTCTAGATGCCAGGCGGGTTGTCATGTGCGGCCAGAGCGTAATGAGAGTTAGTGCAACCTGGGCCGGCCCGATAATTTCCTCGCATCCTTGCACAAACTTAACTCTTCAGTCGGACCAAAAGACGGACACCCACCTCCCCCCCCCCAAGCCCCTATGCATCCTGTACTACGCCACGCTTGAGAGGAATTTTTGTCTATGAAAAGGGGTACTGAAGTGTGAAAGAGGATGTTAGGCAAGGCAAGGCAAAGGGAAAGAGTATAGAAGAGGATTAGTGTGTATGTTTGTGTCTGCGTCTGTGTCTATGTGGGTGTGGGTGTGGGTTCGTCTGTAATGTGTGTATGTGTCTGTTTCTGTGAGTGTGCGCGCGCATGCGTTGGGTATGTGAGTGTGTTTGTGTCCGTGTGTGTTTGTGTGTGTGTGTGTGAAATTTAGTTGCTACTTTTTTTTTTTTTGTACAAGACATCACCTTCAACGGCCATTCCTGTTTTGAATCCTAACAGAAAATGTCTACGAAATTATATTAAATTGCAAACGTAACCTTTTAAAGACATCACCTTCAACGGCCATTCCTGTTTTGAATCCTAACAGAAAATGTCTACGAAATTATATTAAATTGCAAACGTAACCTTTTAAACAACTACATCATAGAATATAATTGTAGAGTTTTATTATTATTATTATTATAATCATTAAATGTGGTTTTATATAGCGAGGTACCCCCAGCGTAGGGATGGGCTCACCACGCTGTACTTACAATTTAACAAACATAATCATGAACGTAAAGATTTACATCCATTAATTAAATTATACAAAACAAATGAATATTCACTCCACCGCATTCAAGAACTATTTACATTTCAAGCCATGGACGGCTACCCAGCAGCATCGTTTGTGGGTCAGATGAAATAATTCGCAAATTGTAAATTGTAATTATAGATGGTATAATTTTCAACGTAAATTTACATATTTATCGTAAAATTGTTTAGTCTAAAACAAATTCATTTTCATGGGAATTTGTAGGCTCGACTAGAAAAGTTACGTATTTGAAAATGAGTGAAATTATGAAATCTTAAAACCTAAAGAAAACCAAGGGGAAAACATACTTACTTGTCGCAGAGCTTGGATGAGACTAACCTGGCATCGTATATGCCACAAGGAAGTTTATTAAATCAACATATCTTGGGTAAATTCCGATTGATGTGTAGGATTGGTTTCAAAGACTATCTAACAAGGCTATCAAACACATGCGCACTGCAAGTTCTGGCGTGCAAATAATAATGTTTCGTACCTTGTAAGTTTTTTCGACATTAATTTTACCTTGCTGAACTAGAGAACGTGTAAAGCTCAGTTATCTAAGGCACGCATAGTGCTCATGAATAGTAGTTTAAATATATGAATTTGTTATCCTATTCTTCTACCAGCTGTGTTGCCAAACTCTTCTACCCGATAAGCTGGCAAACTCTGCTAGCTGCCGTGCTGCCAAATTCTTATGTTAGCTGTGTTGTCTATTTCTTCTACCAGCTATGTTGCCAAACTCCTTTACCTACGTTGCCAGACTCTTCTACCATTTATGTTGGCAAGCTCTTCTACGAGCTATATTGACAAATTCTTCTCTCGGCTGTGTTGCCAAACTTTTCTACCAGCTAAGATGTCCGGCTTTTTAACCGGCTGTGTTGCAACAATCTTCTTCGACTACATTTCCTTTCTAAAATCTAGTTGCAACGATGGTAATTGACATAAATAGACATACTTTAATTCATGTTTTGTTGTTATTGTTTTTTGCCCCTTATAAGTCCAAGATATAATAAACTTTGGTTGTTGTTTTTTTAAAATGAAACACAATTTTAAACCTGACCCGGGTTAATTAGTATATCAATCACAAACGATACTTTCAATAACAAATCAAACTGAGTGAAAGCAAGTTTGAAATCTATGACGTGATTTTAACTTTTTTTTTTTTTTAAAAGGGAAGCGAAACAAAATTCAGAATGGAGAACCTACATTGTTATGTTACTTTACATATTAAAATTTTAATTAATCTTAAATATAATCTTGCATTTAACAAATTTTAACGCTTGTTAGGTCATGCCGGCTATGAAAACATCAACATGTTTATTAAAACTGAAAATGTTTGCAGCAATGCATTCATTAATAACAATACCAATGAAAATATAAAAAAAATTATGTATTTTAATCATTTTTCGTATCAATGGGATAAGTTAGAAACGTTGTAATTTTGAGCTTGCACGACATTTTTTCAGGGATTAGAAAGTAAACAATGGAGTTATACAATGATGAGCAGCCCATTTCCCCCAAGCATTTTTTCAGGGATTAGAAAGTAAACAATGGAGTATACAATGATGAGCAGCCCATTTCCCCCAAGCATTTTTTCAGGGATTAGAAAGTAAACAATGGAGTATACAATGATGAGCAGCCCATTTCCCCCAAGCATTTTTTCAGGGATTAGAAAGTAAACAATGGAGTATACAATGATGAGCAGCCCATTTCCCCCAAGCATTTTTTCAGGGATTAGAAAGTAAACAATGGAGTATACAATGATGAGCAGCCCATTTCCCCCAAGCATTTTTTCAGGGATTAGAAAGTAAACAATGGAGTATACAATGATGAGCAGCCCATTTCCCCCAAGCATTTTTTCAGGGATTAGAAAGTAAACAATGGAGTATACAATGATGAGCAGCCCATTTCCCCCAAGCATTTTTTCAGGGATTAGAAAGTAAACAATGGAGTATACAATGATGAGCAGCCCATTTCCCCCAAGCATTTTTTCAGGGATTAGAAAGTAAACAATGGAGTATACAATGATGAGCAGCCCATTTCCCCCAAGCATTTTTTCAGGGATTAGAAAGTAAACAATGGAGTATACAATGATGAGCAGCCCATTTCCCCCAAGCATTTTTTCAGGGATTAGAAAGTAAACAATGGAGTATACAATGATGAGCAGCCCATTTCCCCCAAGCATTTTTTCAGGGATTAGAAAGTAAACAATGGAGTATACAATGATGAGCAGCCCATTTCCCCCAAGCATTTTTTCAGGGATTAGAAAGTAAACAATGGAGTTATACAATGATGAGCAGCCCATTTCCCACAAGCATTTTTTCAGGGATTAGAAAGTAAACAATGGAGTTATACAATGATGAGCAGCCCATTTCCCCCAAGCATTTTTTCAGGGATTAGAAAGTAAACAATGGAGTTATACAATGATGAGCAGCCCATTTCCCACAAGCGTATTCAACGTGAGTAGCATCAACGTTATTTAAAGACCGCATCCAAAAATCCCCCAAACAAAAAACTGAAGAGTTGCGATAAGCAACACTGAAATGACAATTAAACGAGCAGCGACCAAAAAGAACAACGGCAACTCGGTATAAGATATTAAAAGCATCATTTAAAGTTGAAGATAACATTATCATTATTTAATTACAAGACAAAATTAAACGACACATATATATAAATAAATTATTGGAAAATAAACATAATATGCAACTGAGGGAAAAGCGAGTGAAGTGGAAAAAAAATGAAACAATTTTTAATATCTAAATAAAACTAATTTAGCACACATGTGATGTTGTACTGAACCTGTGTCATATTAAACAAGTGATCTCATTTCCTGAATTTCTATTTTTCGAAAACACGAAAATTTGTTTTATAGAAAGCTCTAAATAGAAAAATCGTACCTCTTGTTATATTCTTTAGAAAATTGGGAGTCTTTTTAATGGCTTTCTCTTCTCCAAATAATAAAATGAATTATCATGAAGAGAAATGCCAGAAAGGTTTGTTTTTTTGAAAACATAAAATTAATACAAAATTTTAAATAATAAAATAAAGCATAATACATATTAATTAATATGCGACTTTAATTATGTTACCCCCCAAAAAATATAGACGCTCAAACTTTGCATTGAGACATGTTGAAATATGTTGAATATTTAAGACAAAAGTGAAGCGCATTTGATAAATTCATAGCTTTTAAAGTTCAGCGTTGGTTAAAATCTAGTACAGTGTTGTCAGAAATTCAAACATGCCGATAATGTGTTGCTAATCATGATTAACATTTCGTGATAGGTTCTCTCCCCCCCCCCCCGCCCCGGTAATGTTAGTCAACGACGATAATGTTTGTACTTCCTATATTGACACAAGACGACCCTCGAACTGTCATTTGATCCACGGTGTCCACCTGTATGGTTCTGCAAAAGAAAACAAAGAAATTTTTAACGAAGCATCTTTTATTCATGAAAGAAGCTTTACATTTGGTTTGTTGTAAATGTATGGTTTATTTTATTCGGAACACAACTTTCAGTGTACGAGATCAAACAAAATTTTTATAAATACATCATAATGAGTGAGCAAAAAACTAACCTAATGACTTACGGTCCTAAAAAATCATTGCTTTTTGACTTACAAATGAACACCTTCTTGTGTCAACTGAATATTGCTGGTTGGCTGATTGCATTAAGTGTTCTCTATCAGGGCCCTGAAATAGAATAATCAATTTCTTGTTTGACTAAACAATTTTTTTTTTAGCTTCACCCTGACCAAAAAAAAAATAAAAAAATTTCATTTTTATTTTGCAGCAACTTATGCAGTTTGATTTATGGCAATATTAACTAAGTTACATGACAAGTTAATAAAGGTGTTTTTTCGTTTTTTTTTTAATTTAACATCTTCTATTGTTAACTTTGTCTATTTCAATTTTGATTCCGTATGATGCTCTGATTAAATATCGAAAGTCCAGATCAAAAAGGTCTTGACTTGAACCTTTAGACTGCTCATTTTATCAGGATATGAACATGCTGATGTAAACAAATAAACGTACAAAAAAAAAAAAAAAAAAAAAAAAAAAAAACAAAAAACAACAAAAACACCAAGATACTAATTTTCCCCAAGCGTACGGTGTTAAAGTATTCTCGGTTATTTATAAAATAAGCTGGCGGACAACAGGCCAACAAAAAGAAAATAAGACTAATTTTTTTTCAAGACATTAGCTCTAAATGACCGAACTGATCAGATCAAGCAGAACGTGCAGTAGGTATCTATGGGACTCAAAGTCAGCACCATCATCAATAACACTCTCCTCGTCGAGAGTCCACCCAAGCATCTTGTTGGCCTCTGTGCAATAATTGGCATGTTTACCAAACAATCCGATAGTGCGCTTGCACTCCCATAACTTCACAGCCCTTTCCACGACAAACCACAATTTTTTACGCCCTCTATCGAGAGGTTCCATTAATTTCTGATGTCGTAAATCTGGAGGTTTCCTTGATTTCTGATGTTGCATATCTGGAGGTTTCCTTGATTTCTGATGTTGCATATCTTGAGGTTTACTTGATTTCTGAAGTCGTATATCTCGAAATTTCATTGATTTCTGAAGTCGTATATCTCGAGGTTTCCTCAAGTTCTGATGTTCTATATGGGGCGGACTCCTAGTCTTCTTACCTCGTAGATCTCCCAGCGTAGGTGTCTCTGTTTTTGTTGTTCTGCACGTCTTTCTCGTCTCACCGTATAGACCATGTCCTGGTTGCAATCGTTTTCGCCACGCTTGAACTATGTATTTGAAAAGATCAGTTTTCGCAAAGTATTGAGTCGGTGAAATACTTGAACCCGATTCATAACGTAACATTTCATATTTACACTTGTGCCTCGTTCTGGTGGTTTTGGTATTCATCTTCAGTTCGTTAAATTTTATTCCCTTTTTTATGGATATTTTTTTTCTAACTGGAACATAATTCCTTGTTTTCATTTGATCCCTAACAAATCTGGATTGTCTTTCCCTGTTTCTAGAAATATGAAAGCAAAATAACTAATAAAATTAAAGTGTATTTTTAATTATTTTTATTGAATTTCAGTCAAATTAGTTGATACGAATTTACAATTTTGATCAAGTTATTGTTTATTTATTTATTTTTTTTTGGACCTAGGTTGTTCTTTTTATCTGGCAACAACAAAACAAAAAACAAATCTCGACTCTCCTAGAAAAATAAAAAATTTAAAAAATCAATATTAGCTACTAGCTACAACAAGGAATTAAAATCAGATAGATAAGGATCAGTGGCGTAGCTAGGGGGCTTACCGGGGGTGCGGACCATACCACCATCTCACGGGTGACATCAAGTTGAAAAATTGCA